AGACACTGGCCTCTACAGAATAGTAGTTTTTGTTAAAAGGGAGAGCACATTGGAGGATTAGGCCGAGAGAAGACAGACATAATGACTTTCAGCTATGAGAAAGTGCTCAAAACCCCAAAATCTGGATCAGATCTGGTTGTGCTTATATAGAAGAAGAAGCGAAAACGTAAACTGTGGATGAACATGTGGTTGAGAAACACAAATATAACAGCGATCTGAGAAATCTGAGTTTGAGAAATTTTACATCAAACCGCCAGCTGACTTGAAACGGTAAAGCAAGCACTTTGACGCCTAGATCCATACGTCCTACACATCCCAAACACCCTAAACACTAAGAAGGCTTTTAAGTAACACCTCTCTGCCACATGTTCACTCTGCCTCATTTTTCTTTCCCCAATGTGAGAACAAGGAGAATCACTCGTCCAGTTATGTCACTCACCACCTCACGGCTGGTGAACTTTGTGTTGAACGTATCAATAAAATCAGTTAGCACACGCCTGGTTTGATATAATATAAATGAAACTTGCTTTGCTCTGCTTTAAGTTTTAGCCCAGCTATAGCTGCTTTTCTCGCATCTCCAACAGGAAACTTTTCCACAAAAGTAGAACAGTTTCTTGTAAAATGTCTCTCAACATTTGATTTTCTTCGAGGCTGAAGTCGATTCTCATTCGCCAGCTTCTTCGAATTTTCCTGTTCCACCTTAAATGGTGCCTGAAATGCCAGAATGTAACTGCTTTCATTTCCAAATTATCGAGGATCGTTTTAAATCTTTCTCTTTCCCTTTTCGTTAGCTACTAGCTAGGTGGGACTGTAGTCTACGTTGCTATGTTGACCAGCAGTCTGTGTGCTGATCTTCGGGTTAAAGGGTCAATTAGCAGTCATACATTAACTCCGGCGTGGGCTGGTAAACATTGAGTCGAACATATCATTAAAATCGGTTAGTACACATCTGGCTATTAAGGCTATTAAAGTACAATTTACAAACGTAGTTTAAGTTGAAATGCCATGAAACAGCAGGAAACGTGCAACGTCATTCCTCCTCTAGACTCCCATTCATTTTCGGCCAAACGACACCAAAATGCATGTACTAACTCAGGGAAGATCCCCAAGCTCTAATCCGCAGCCATACTGACCCACACTCCTCTAGGTGTCGTTTTTTCATCCCTCTTTCCTTACATAGACTCCTATTCATTTTCAACAACACATAGTTAACACTTGGCAACTCCCTATGAACAACTAAAACACCTCATACACCATGGCAACTGCCTAGCAGCAATTTAGCAACCACTTGGGATACCATAGAAACTGCCTAGCAACACCTTAGCAACCCTCTGGGATACCATAGTAACTGCCTAGAATCAACCTAGCAGGAAGGGGGAACCATTTAAGCTGCGCGACCATTCTGCAGGAAATGCATGTTTCTAGTTAAAGTCATAAATCTGAAATGTTTGTTTGTTTTTTTTTTTTCCCCCCATTGTCTCTTTATTAAGCAGGGTTCTGTTGCTTAAATGGATGAGATGCCCTGGTGTGTTTGTATCACCTCTAACTACTGTGAGTTATTGATTGTGTCTGACCTTTGGAAGAGATGTCAGACAGAGATACGCTGACAGCATTTCAGTGTGTGTACATGTGTAATGATGTGTGTGTGTGTGTGTGTGTGTGGTGTGTGTGTGTGTGTGTGTACACCGATGGTGGGGACCCTCAGTAACCCCGTCTAAAGCAGATGTGTCTGATAATCATCGATTTCCATCACATAGAGTGACTTTTAAATGGCCCTTAGGATAATTCAGTTACTCAGCCTCACCAGGTCTGCTGTCACGATGAAATCAAAATGTAGAAAAAGTCTATTCCAAAATATAAATGTAACTCTGCTGTTATTCCTAATGTGTTTCAAACCAGGAATTAGTAACATTATCACATGTGATGATCACCAAAGGTGAAGAACAACATGTCATATCTGACCACAAGAAAACAATTTATTTAGGCTTTAATTATCAAATGTATGAGAATATCTGTCGGCTGTTTAGCAGCTCAGTTCTGAACAAAGCAATATATCCACTTCATCAGCGGAATTACGTTAGTAGCACAGTTGTCCCTTAACTTTTTGAGCAGGTAGCACTGGTGCTAGAAAAGTTACAAGTGTTGTAGCACAAATTCAAATACTGTAACTCTGTTAAAATAAAAATGACAAAATATTATTTTACAAAGTATACATCCCAATAAGTGGAACAACTTGTCAATTTAAGAGAAGGAAAAAAGACACGTTAAAGGTTTGAAAATGTTCATTTTGCACAGATTCATTTTCTTCAGATTCCCTACAAAGTGGAGATATTTGCACTCAAGCAGCGTTTTGCGCATCACTGAAAGACAGGACTTAAAAACTTTGAGTATTTTGTACTTCATGAGGCCCTTTGTTTACAAAAATTTGGATTTTTCTAGTGTCAAAATTACCTGATGGACTACAACTACTATAAACACTAGTTCTTGATCTATGCTTGGCCAGTGGGGAAATATTCTTTGATAGTGCAGATATTTAGTGAGAATAGTTCACAAATAATTGACTGCAAACGTCACTGATCTCTAGGACTTGAAGTGCACAGTGCACACATACACAACCTGCATATGCACAGTATTTGTATCGTTAAAAGTTAAATACAAAATTAAGATAAGTTAGTGGTGTAAGCTGCAAGTTAGCTGCTAGGCTAAACACACTGCTGCAAGCGTTTTGTTTTTTTTTACTGCAACTCAATGTGCTCTCCAGTCTGAGAAATGGGGATATCATTGCAGAGGAGTTCTATTTTCTTTTTTTTAAACAATCATCAATGGTTTAATCATTTTAAACCAGGTTGTTTTTAACAACTTAAGCTTTTATGAATACTTCATGTTTATGCTAAGCGCCCCCTTGTGGATTTATAATTAAAAGCACTTTACAGTCTTACGCATCAAGACACTCACTCTCACACATCAGTCAGAGTTGCTATGTGAACTGACAGAGTGATTCATTCTTACCACAACATCTGCACAACCACAGCATAGAAAGCCTGAGTTTGTGTTTGTGTGTGATCTAAACAGTGCTGATTTAAATAAGCTCTGGAAGCCTTGGACACATTCGGACACTTCCAGTATACGAACTATGCACAGTAGAGACTCCAGAAGACAAATATGAGCCTGTTTGAAAAGTACTATTCCATCTGAGCCATTGTGTCTTAACAGTGTGAACGAAATGAAGTTTCCCATATCATGAAACAGAAGAGCAGACCCGGTCTAGTGAGACGTAAAGCTGAGATTCTCACATGAGATCTCATGTAATGTCTTCGATGTTGTACCAAAGTATTTAAAACATGTTCTTGTATATGAGAATGAAATGAGTCCATTAAATTAGGGAAGGGGAAATGATCGATCCCCCAAAAATGTCTTTCACCAAATCTCATCATTCACCATTAAACACCAACATTCTCCATGACACACCATGATTCTTCAAACAGTACCATTATTCTCCAAAACAATCATCATTCTCCAACAAATAAAAATATATAGAATTCTGCAAAACGTACCATCATTCTTCACTAAACACCATCACTGTCCAATAAAAACAAAATTACCCACCAAACACTATCATTCTCCATCAAACATCAAACACCAACAATCTGTCAAAAAACCTCAACATTCCCAAACATCATTTTACAAAATAACCCTCTTTGAAAGTTATGATGTTTCTTGAGTGAAGACTGAGTTTGTTTTTTTTATTGAAGATGAAGATGAAGCAACAACGCTGTAATCCATGTATCTGACTACCAACTCCACTGTCCATCTATCTTAGCTACTGCTTTGTATCTCATAAGCACCGGCAGCTGTTCACGAACTGCATCAAACACAAGCATTTTCTACGTCTCGTGAAACTCATAACACCAGCAAAAATACTCCCAGCTAGGCTACGGACCGAGAGGACAGGATGAGAGGAGCAGCAAGTAAAGCCCAGAACACTGACTCAGCATTGCCAACAAACACAGACAAACCAGAATAGGGTGTGTGACAACTGTTTATGTTTGGTTGGAGTGATGCTGGGAAAATAGCAGTGGTTTTTGGGGAATCACAATGTTTGTTGGGAAACACGTGTTGGAGAAAGATGGTGATTTTGATGGAGAATACCAGTGACTAGTGATGAAGATTAATGGTGTTTAGTGAAGAAAGATGGTGTTTGTTGTAGAATAATTATGTTTAGTGCAGAAAGATGGTATTTAGTGCAGAAAGATGGTGTTTGGTGGAGAAAGATGGTGTTTGGTGAAGAAAGATGGTGTTTGGTGGAGAAAGATGGTGTTTAGTGAAGAAAGATGGTGTTTAGTGAAGAAAGATGGTGTTTAGTGAAGAAAGATGGTGTTTGGTGGCAAATGATGGTGTTTGGTGGAGAAAGACGGTGTCTAGTAGAGAATAATGGTGTTTGGTGGAGAATAATGGTGTTTCATGGAGAAAGTTGGTGTCTAGTGGAGAACGAAGGTGTTTGATGGAGGTTAATTACTGAGTTCGTAAATGATGGTGTTTGAAGAAGATAAATTTGTTGGCAAAAGATGGTCTTTGCTGAGAGATTTTGGTGTTTGGGTGAAGTTTGGGTGTTGGTTAGAGAATGCCTGAGTTAATTTGAGAATGTTGGTGTTTGACGGTGATGGTGTTTGATGGAGTATGATGTTTCTTGGTAAATGATGGCGTTTGGTGGAGAATGAGGGTGTTTGTCAGAGAAGGTGTTTGCTAGAATGTTAGGTTTTGATGGGGAATGATGGTGTATGGTGGAGAGTGAAGGTGTTTGAAGGAGAATGGTGGTATTTGGTGGTGAACGATGGTGTTTGGTAGTGACCAATGGTGTTTACGTTGGGATGAATAATTAGTGTTTGGTGAGAAATGATGGTATTCGTTGGAGAATGTCTGGCTGTTTTCACATGTTCTGGGCTTCCTCCACTGATCAGAAAGCAAGGCCAAGACCGAAGAGCTTTCCACCGAGTTCCTACCTTTCTCTTATTGCTTGGACAAATGTAGAAATTCGTGACTATGATGGTCGTTCCGGGCATCAGGTTCAGCTTCGTATAGGTGGTGCCATAATCACTGGACCTGTACGGACAGAGAAAGTGAGCGAGAGAAAGAAAAAGAGAGAGATGGAGAGAGATACGAAGAGAGTTAGAGCAAATAACCACATTTACAAGTGGAGCGTAGCTGCTAGATCGCACTGAATCATATCCTCAGCCTTCAATTATGGTAAATACATAATTATCCAAATAAGCAACAACAGAGAAATGACTCATCCTGATCATTCTGCCCACAGATGATTCTCTCTCATTATATATTACTGTGAGTAGGAAAAAAAAAATGTTTCAAAGCATTGATGTATTTCATCCACCACCTGTCGTTCTTCAGAAATGTTTTTCATTCTGCAGCAAATACCTCTATTTTCTCCTCATGAAACCAAACATACAAAATTACCAGATTCCCTCTGACCTTCAGCTGCTCACTTAAACTTTTCTTAATTCACCACCATACACATGCATACACTGAACAGATCCTTTATAATGAGTGAGTTAAACGTCTGAAATTTAGCCAAAGTCATCAGGATCTGAGGCTGAGAGGGGAAAGTGTTTCTGAACGGATCAGTATGGCCTCTTTGGCAGGGGACAGTAACTGCTAGCCATCTTATCCTCTGAACGACGGAGTCAGATCTAATCATAGCCTACTCGTGTTTGAGCCTGGCAGCAAGGGCTAGATAAAACTAGCCAGAGATTGATGGTGGTTCTTGGATAGCCTTTTTTTTCATGGCAGGCCAAGTTAAACAGGTAAGGGTGCGGCTGTAATTGCTGGTGACAGGCCGGAGCTGCCGGAGTGGAGTCTGGCACCGTCATGGCCGATCATGTTCATTTTCAAAACACAGTTACACAGCCTGCTGTAAAGAAAAACAGTGGAAAAAAACAACACGATGTGGCTTTAAGCTTGGCTCAAAATCCACACTGCCAAATGAGCTTATTTTTATTAAAGACAATACCTGCTATTGTGGTGTTAGCCATTCTAATACTGTAACCACAGGAGGGTGCAACATGAAAATGAGCCCCAACCAATCACAAAGTATTTTACTATGGACTGTGAGCATTCTGACCAATCAGGGTGTAAAGATTCTGTAACTATAGCAATGCCCACAGCCACAACCTACTGGTTTACTGCTTCCTCTTCTTATACTTAGACCATCAACGCTATTCCAATCTGCCACATGGTTAGTATCTCACTCATGGCCACCAGAACCTTTTACTGAAACTTCCAGAACTCTGTAAATGAACATCAAGCATTATGACCCATCTCATTAATTTTCCAACCAGTTTTCAACCATTTCCTAAACTCTAGTACGTTTCCTAACTGTTGGTTTTACTTTAAAAGCCTTTAAATTCTGCTTTGGCAGTAAAAGTGTAGCATTATTTTTCATGCCAGTGAAACAAGCTGAGTTGAATTGAACTGAACTGTCTCCTCCACCTTTATAATGTAAGGACAACCCAGTGAACCCCCAGGTTCAAAACATGACACTGTTTATGAATAGGTTTATTGGGACATGTTATTATAGCCATGATATATGATACAGGTGCTGCTGAAAGTTGGTTTTAGTTAGTCAGTTAGTGGCCCAGTTTTGCAATTTTGGCTTTTGCAAGTCAGATAATTTTGTCACTTATTTTTTTTTCCACTAGCACACTTTTCAGAATCAGTCATTTTATTATTTTTATTGTGTTTTGACTTTTGGAGGTGTGGTGCCACCCCTGATCTCATTTTTATTATACTTTTTCATTTTTGGGGTAGAAGTTTACCTTACTTTCCAGCTAAGTCTCCTTCTCTCACACTATGAATGCGTTTACAAGCACTTAATCTGATAACTGCAGAAAATCAGATTTTGTCAGTAATCTGATCAAAGTGCTTGCATGCACTTGAGTAATCAGATAATGGGGAAACTCAGAGTCTACATGAGTCAGACAGTAATCAGATTTCTACTTTACAATCAGCCAATAAACTCACAGAATAAGACGTGACACAAACGTAACGTAAAACAAACTTCACATCGTGGCCTTTTAAATCAAACCACTTTACCTGAAAATATGAACATACATCATCTAGAAGATGAAGAATATTTAAATCCTTCATTTCGTCAAGCATGTAGTTTGTTTCAGTGTCGCTCCAAAAGTGTTTTCACACATTCACAGACTGAGAACTCTGAAAGAAATCAGAGTAAGAGTTACATGCACTGAGAAATCGGATTACTGAGCTAAAATCCAGCTCTTTTATCAGATTTCTAGAACTTACACCGATCTAAGAAATCAGAGTGTGCTGTTTATGCGACCATTTGAATAATCAGATAACTGCATAAATCCAATTATGATCGGATTATTTAGCGCATGTAAACGTACTCAATGCTACAAAGCAGGGAGGTGAAGGCTAGCACAGTCAAGTCATGTGAAGCTCCACCACATCTTTCCAAAATGCTGCTAACACAATGTCACTGAACAGCTTAACACGTTGGAGCAGAACGCTAACTGACAATTCATTGGTTGGCTACCCACCAGAAAGAGAGAGGACAGTTATGCCATCTTGGACTCGTGGCCACAGATAGCAGTGGGGATCAAATTCATAATCTCCCGACGATGGAGTCAAAGCGACAGTCACATCACTCAAGAATGTGAAATTTGATTTAAATATATATATTTCGATGTTGTCGGAACAAAACTTCTCTCATCTCCAAAATGGTAACTTTACAGGAGAAGGAAAAACATACTTTACTTTTAATGTAAGTCAATGAAAACAGACTTTTTTTACAAGGAATTTTGAGCTGCTTCTTTTGGCCTATTCACCATGAGATTTACATACAATGTAAAGGACAATAGGTACTTTTAAAGAAGGTCAAAAACTGAAACTCGACAAAAACAGAGATACAAGGTTTTGTTCTGACAACAGCAAGATTTTTTTTACACACACACACACACACACACACATATACATATATATATATATATATATATATATATATATATATATAAAAATGTATAGAAATATATATATATATATATAGAGGGCAGCACGGTGGCGTGGCGCTGTTGCCTCACAGCAAGAAGGGCCTGGGTTCGATTCCCAGCCAGGTGACCAGGGTCATTTCTGTGTGGAGTTTGCCTGTTCTCCCCGTGTCTGTGTGGGTTTCCTCCGGGTACTCCGGTTTCCTCCCACAGTCCAAAAACATGCAGTCAGGCCAATTGGACATGCTGAATTGCCCCTAGGTGTGAATGTGTGTGTGTGTGACTGTGTATGTCTCTCTGTCTGCCCTGCGATGGACTGGCGACCTGTCCAGGGTATATCCTGCCTTCCACCCAGTGGCGGCTGGGATGGGCTCTGGCGCCCCACCACGGCCCGGAAGGATAAGCGGTTTGGATTGATTATATATATATATATATATATATATATATATATATATATATATATACACACATACACACACACACACAAAATATACAGTAATAACTGTAGACTTCTTTCTGTTAAACTTAACCTCTGACTATTTTCAAAAGGAAATAGTTTTCAGTTTGTGGAGCTGCAACTTGTATAAAATGGAATTTCTATGCTTTCCTCTCACTGTTCGACACTCGGTCCCCACTGAGTGAGTAAAATGGAGTATAAACAATTTTAACTTTATCCTTTTACAGAGTAGAGCTGTTTAACCTGGACAGCACAGATGAGGGGCAGACAGAGGAAGAAAAGTAAAGAACGACAGAAACAGAGCAGAAGAGAGAGAATCACTGGGACAGAATGAGAAAGAGAGCGAGAGAAAGAGAGCGAGGGAGCAGTAGAGCTGTCATTGTCTATTATGTCAGACAGCACAGAGCTTTACTGTCCGGCCAGAAAGAGGATGGAGAGGAAGCGAAAGAGAGAGAAAACAAATGAAAAGAGGATGAAGGAGAGCATGTAAGGGAGAAACATAGCAGCCCTTTGAGTTTCTGGAGAGCGGGCCGTCCTCTGATCTGGGTGGAGCGTATATTTATTATAATATGACGGCTACAACACTCAGAAGCACCAGACAGTCATGAAGAGTAATTTATATGACAGAACCATTAAAGTGACACTTCCACAAAAAATCTCATTTACAGTTTCCACCTTTAACCCCTTATAATCTCAGGCTTCTTACATACTAAAGCTTATCATTCAGTTACTACAGGGACTTCAGTGAAAACTAGCTGAGCTATTCTGTTCTGTCAAGACATGTTTGGTGTCTGAAGTTTGCTTATTTGGTTGAGAGTTAGGTTTAGGTTTTGGGTTGAGGTTAAGGTTAGGATTTGGACCAGGGTTAGGACTAGGACCAGAGTGAGAGTTAGGTTTAGGTTTTGGGTTGAGGTTAAGGTTTGGATTTGGACCAGGGTTAGGGCTAGGACCAGGGTGAGGGTTGGGTTTAGGTTTTGGGTTGAGGTTAAGGTTTGGATTTGGACCAGGGTTAGGGCTAGGACCAGGGTGAGGGTTGGGTTTAGGTTTTGGGTTGAGGTTAAGGTTTGGATTTGGACCAGGGTTAGGGCTAGGACCAGAGTGAGAGTTAGGTTTAGGTTTTGGGTTGAGGTTAAGGTTTGGATTTGGATTTGGACCAGGGTTAGGGCTAGGACCAGGGTGAGGGTTGGGTTTAGGTTTTGGGTTGAGGTTAAGGTTTGGATTTGGACCAGGGTTAGGGCTAGGACCAGAGTGAGAGTTAGGTTTAGGTTTTGGGTTGAAGTTAATGTTAGGATTAGGATTAGAGCAGGTTTAGAGTTTTAGAAAATTATGATCAACTTGGTAGATATTTAGTTGAATATAACTTGAAGGTAAATTAAGTATCAACAAATCATCTAAAGTGGATTATGCAAATAAAACATCACCAGTCTTTTAAATGATATATGATGTATGATGATCCATGCTTAATATGACCAAAAACAGGAACTAGCACGGTAAAAAACTGAAAGTAAGTCTTAAGTCTTGAAACTCGAGTCGTGAATCAGTACAGTCAAGTCTCAAGTTGAGTCCTAAACAAATCAGTGTGCATTTATCAGCTAATTTAATGCTTTTATTTTCATTATTTT